GGAGGACGTTTTCGCAGAAGCGGGAGCATGCAAAACTTGGAAGACCAGGTCTTCAGGAGCATAGGCAGCTTGTAGGCGCATATCTTGCCAAAACCCAAGCAAAAGTGGAAGCCTGTGGATAAGAAACTAGGCTTTCAAAACTTTGGTCATATGATGGGTGCAAAGATTCCCACACTCCAACCAAAGGTCGCTACCTCGATGCCAGTATTCATATTGTGCGGATCGGAGCTTGGCTCTCAAGAGACTGCTGCCGGCCTTCGTGTGCTGATTGACCTGGAACCTCTCCTTGAGGAATTTCCAACAGCGATCCACAATTTGGGTTCCAGACTTAACCTGGAGAGTCCTCTTTGTGCCAGGAACCTTATGTGAGACTATCTGCACACACTTTGGGAGCTGCCACTGCATCTTGCCCTTCACTTTGACACGTTTCTTGCAGTGGATGACTCGGTCATGGAGTACGCCAGGCAGTTTGAGCTTGTAACTCTTCGCAGAGTCTGTGTGGAGAACAACTTTCCGATTAGCCAACAGCTGCTCAGCAACACCCTTCCACTCGATACGTCGCACAGCTCCGGGCCCAGGAGCTCGCTTGACTGTGAGCTTCCGCAAAACCAAGGTATGTGGGCGACCTCTTTGGATGATCCCGGCCCATTGCTCCCACAGGACTGGACAGTTCTTGTCTTTGAGGAGGTGCTTGAAGTTGATGGATCGGGAGATGCCCGCTTGTCAAAGGTAGCTTCGTCTGCCTCGACATCCTGCCAGCCTTTACCATCGCCAAAAACAATCTCCTTCCCCTTTGCCTCCACATACTCCTTGCGAAGTCTGCATAGCTTCCGCTCCACGTCCTCGACCGCTTTGTGGTTCACCCCGAGGAGCATGTGAATGCTGGACTGCTTGACATTGTGGAGTTTAAGGAGCAGCATGGCCGCTTGTTCCTGCAAGGACTTCTGTGATGAACCGGTGCCTTCAGTGAAGAGAGGATGAAGGTGATGTGGGTTCATACGCTTGTGGCAGTTCCGATAGCTGCACCTATGCTTGAGAGATCCGTCGTAGTAGGGCTGGAGCTTGGAGAGGAAGCCATTGCAACAGAACGGGCAACGTTTGCCTTCCCATTTGATCAAGAGCTTGTCTGCCCTCAAGATGCGAATGATATCTGTGCCTGTAGCCTTCAAGAGCTCAGGAAGGGTGCGCTTCCACTTGATCTGGTCCTTTCGCTGGCCACGGCTAGGCAGGGCAAGCTTGTCACGCACATAGGGGATCTGCTTCCAAAGCTTGGTCTTCCTGGCTGCAGGACGCTTCTGGACCATACGTTTCTTGCCCTTCTTGGGTACGACCACCGACACGGACTTCCCCATGGATCACTAAGTGGCCCAGCAGCTAGCTCACAGACACCGAACTAAAACAAACGCTGATGAAGAGGGACAGGGTGAAGTAGCAGTTGGTGCACAACTTTGTGTCAGTACATCACTGCAATGACCCTAAGAGGAAACTATCAAGCTTAGCTGCCCCTTTTGTACTCAGACTGGCATTGCTTCGGTTATGAGCAAGAACTGTTCAGATGGTGACCTGTGCCTTTTGTACAAAGAAGCTAAGGCATTGTTCTCACACCATGGCACCAACACTTCCCATGAACAAGTGCACAGCTTGACCTTGAGGCTATTATGTCCTAAGCACTAGACCCCCAAACCCTAAACCCTACATCCTATACCCATAAGCCTAAAGTCCGATGTAACATCCCTGTGCTCTTTTGTAATGCTCTAACCTGTAAGTGCATAAACGAAAGCAGCAAAGAAGGCAGGACATGAGCAATCCAAGTGCTTAAGGTAGGGAAGGCCATAATGTGATGTGAGATTTTTGGTACTAGTGCCAGGCCATGAGAGGCTCAGATGTTCACTTGCTGCTGTTGTCTGCCTCTTCCTTGTGAATGATGTTGGCCAGCTCTTGGGAAAAGCCATCGAACTCTTGTGAGAGATCGGCCATGGGGTCATGAACGGAACCACATTGGGAAGCCACATCCATAGGGGGAGCCTTGGGACACATCAGTTGCATGCTCAAGGCCATCGGAGGAATGCCATGTACTGCACCATCTGATGGCTCCACGGGCCGCACGGTGCCAGCACTTTCGGGCTCAATGTCCACGGAGACATCGCTTTTCATCTCCAAAACAGCTGGCTCTGTGGCAGCTTTTTTGGTAGGTGGGGAATCCAAATCGATTACTCCAGTGAGTACTGAAGACAAAGCTCTGCGAAATGGGCGAGGCTCCTCCTTGATCGGCACCGCTTTGGGCATAGGAGACGATGCCGTAGAAGAATTTCTGGTAGCTGGGGCTGGGTGAGGGCTCCTTGGCGATGCTTGGGGTGGAGGAGAAGATCACCAGAAAAAGCGACGCATAGCTGAATTGTCTACACTAACCCTAGGCCCTGGTGGTGGGTTTCCGGCAAGGATGGCGTCCACATCGTCAGCTTCCCATTGAAGATCCGCTTCAAAAGTGCTGGGTTTTGTCTTCTCGTTGTCACGATAGGCCTGATACCGTTTGCCTGCATTGGGGTTGAGGAATTCTACCGTAGAACTCTTCACCAAGCACTGGACCGAGATCTCTTCCTGTGTTGCTGGACGAAAAATCATGATCTTACCTGCATTCACCAGGAGGTTGGCTCTCTTGAGAACGGCCATGATGTGGGGCGGTTCGGTCCTCTCAGGGAACATGGGGGCGATGACCTTCAGGAAGTCCTCGTGCTGCATATGCAGTGTCGTGCCACCGGTGATGCCTTGATGTTCGTGCAGCCAAGGTGTGAACTCGAAGTCGTTACAGACAAAGATGCGCATCTGGCCCTGCACGAATTTGGCTGCCCCCCCACCTCTCCTTTGTGAGCATAGTACAGCCTACATCAGCAAAGCCTTTCATCCTCCGGATTGGCTCGGAGGCGAGGCAACCATCATCATGAATGTCTGGCCTGTCCTTTCGGCCAGCCTGGCCCCGGAAGAAATCAAATTCACTGGCTTCCCGAAAGGAGGCAGGGCTGGAGATGTGGAGAGCTCGTTTCCAGTACCTGGAGATAGACATTGCCAATATGCGAGCCAGCGGTGTTTTACCACTGTGAGCATGTGTCGCACAGCAAAGTCAAGCACTGAATAATCCACATCTGCAAGGGTGAAATGGAAGTCTTCCACAGGCAAGGCCAGAACGCCATCGCTTTGCAATGCCCTGAGTGCTTTCTCCACAAGACCAGGAGGCCAGCTGTAGATGGGCGACTCTTGGTCAATGTTCAGGTTCTTCGTCATCCACTGGACCCTCTTCCATTCTGTGCCAGGTCGTCCGGATTCTTCATCTATGAAGGCAAAGCCTTTGTTGACATCCTCTTCGCTGAGGGTGGCCATGTAGCCACCAGGCTTTCAACCATCAGCACGAGCTTGGTGACAAGGAAGAAGATGGGTCAGTGTGTATTGACGACATTGCCACCCACCAAGCTGCTCCAGGAACCACTGGAACCCCTTGCGGAAGTTCTGTGCATGGCCCTGCCATTTCAAGGTGTGGGGTGTTCCAAAGCAGAAAGACACTGCAGCAGCCCTAGTCAACTTCAGGTCAGGGCTGTACATATGCTTGAGGATGGAAACATTTCCATTCTCTTGTCGGATGACAACGAACTGAGTGATGAGCTTGACCTCCATGTCACACTTCAAGCAAAAGGGCTCTGGCAACCGATCCCTGCCCCAATGGCCACTGTTGTGATCAACTCAATGGCGGACTTGTCGGGGGGTGGCACATTTGTAACGATGTCGACTATGTGTTTCAGGCTGCCCACATCACCCTTGATCTCCTGCAAAGGAAGATCCAACAAGGAGATCCCACCAGGTGCTTGGTCTGACCAACCTGGATAGGGAAGTGGCTTAGACAAATGCATTCCCCTTGTCGCGTCGATGCCACCTTCACTTTTTCCAAAATTTCCACCATTTA